CACCCTACCCTATCCTACCTTAAAACCACCACCACCACCACTACCGAACGACTCTACAGCACCCACCCAACGTCGGCTCTACCTCCATCTTCTCCTCCTCCATCACACCACAATATCTCCACTTCAAATCCACAACCCACACAATTCTATCCACAAAGAGACTCGACTCACAGAGAACGTAGGACTTGACTCAAAGAAACCCTCAAACCTTGTACAGACAATTTATCACGCTATTCCTATTAATCTTTTTTTTTCAAATTTTTTATTCCATGATAATCCCTAGGAAACCCCCTAAATATTCACTGTCTCAACAAATTTTACACCTCGAACAAGGCACCCCTTTGTTGCCCCCAAAACTAGAGGCTCGTTTTCATGGTCAAATTGAAAATTCAAAAGAAGAAGTGGGAGAAAAAGGAAAATGACTTTGGACTATCCAAGTTAGAGTCTTTTTGTCTGTTTGAATACACTAGAAATTATGAGCCTATAGTTCAACTATGCAGGGTGAAATTCAGGTGATTCAAGTGATTTTTGGACTGCTTATTTGGTCAAAATTTAATTTTGCATACTGTTGGGTTAATTACGGTTTGAAGCTAATTGTTAATTTTCTTGATTATGTCCATAGTGGTGGCCACTGTGTATTTTGGATGATGAAATATCATTTTTAGTTAAGTATGTTTTGATTTATATATGTAGATGTTTGTGACAGTTTATTATTGTGAACATGAGGTGGAGATGTTGTGGTGTGATGGAGGTGGAGGAGGCGTCAGGTGGGTGTGATCAAGCTGTCTGGTGGTGGTGGTGGTGGTGGTGGTGGGGTGGGTGGGGTGGTGAAGAAGAAATTATTTGGTTTTTAGATTTTGATTTTAATTATTTGATTTTTAGTTATTTTCATATAAAAAACGTAAAGTTACTATTTTAATATTTCAAAATTAGTTAAAATTATTGTCAAGGTCAAGTATCTAATTAACTAATGGTCAAACTAATAGTTTTCATCCATTTGGGTTTCAGGTGTGAGTTTTTGAAATATTTGGTACCGTGAATGTAACAATCTAAATATTTATGTTAAGTCTGCGTAAAAGTAAAAAGTTTGATACCGTAACTGCAATTTTTCCCAAAAAAATATAAAATGATTTTGTAGTTTACTGGGAAAAGTTCACCTCAAATGATAACTTCTCATAGTGTAATCATGTTCACCATGAAAATAGACTACTATTGAACAGTCCGTTTCAATATGATTTGAGTATAGAATTTATCCTTTAAGGTTTTAAAAATCAATAAATTTCAATCTAGAGAAAAATAGTAAGTATAGAGCCTATTTTCGCTTAACTTTTTGTTTTAACAAGGGATTTATCGTTTTTGTTTTGTTTCCTCATTTCAATTTTTTTGAATTTTGACTTTAATTCAAAAATATATAAATTGAATATAATAATAATAATAGTGAGGATCACATTCCCCGCTCTGATTCCCTTAAAGCATCTTTAATTGTGGTGTAAAATAGATTTAAATTATGATTTACATTTTCAAAGTGGTCGAGAATCTCTTAAATGCAGAGATTCAAAGGAAATGCAAATTGTATTTTTGTCAAACAATTTTAAAAAAGATTTAAATTTACACACACACGTATCCCTGTACTCTTGGAAGCATAATCTGCGATTTACTTTTTTCACCAAGGCTCAGGGCAAGGCAGGTGGGGGCCGCTAAGGATGCGGTTCATCATTTTTTTTTAAAAGTAGATCTAAGTCTTTTCATTGAATCAAAGTTTGAATTTAGATCCATCTAAATGTAAATAATGATGGAAAAGTGGATTTAAAGATACCAATTTATACCACGATTAGATTGGAAATGTCTGATAAGCAAAAAGTCACATACTAGTTTCATTAAAAAGGGAAAATTGCAATTACGATAGAGTTGTCAATCCGACTGGTTTGGGTCGGATCGATCCGCCAAGATATCAGCCTGATAATGGCCCGCGTGAAAAAAAGTCCGCCCGCTTCGGATTCCGGGCCGACCCACAAATTTTAGACTACAACCCAGACCCACCCGCTAACCCATCCAGGTCCAGCCCATGCGGGTCACGGGGGTCGCGGTTTGTTTCGATTTGACCCGTATTATTGTATAAATAAAATTATAAAAATATAGAATTTTTCATATTTATAGNAAAATTATAAAAATATAGAATTTTCATATTTATAGTAAAAAAATATTTTTTTTGTTAAATGTAAACTAAGAATTGAACAAAATGATAAATTCATATTTATACCAAGAAATGTTTACATAGAATTCAAATTTAATGTTACATGAATTATTTATAACTTTGCAAAATTAAATTTAACTTAAACAAATAACAACTAAATGCATTTCTAATTACTATCATCAAATATTTATAACATAAGTACATCCCAACTAGATTGACACCTACCCCTACCCTACCCTAAAACCACCACCACCAGTCCACCGCCACTACCGAACGACTCTACAGCACCCACCCAACGTCGGCTCTACCTCCATCTCCTCCTCCTCCATCACACCACAATATCTCCACTTCAAATCCACAACCCAGACATTTCTATCCACAAAGAGACTCGACTCACAGAGTACGTAGGACTTGACTCAAAGAAACCCTCAAACCTTGTACAGACAATTTATCATGCTCTTCCTGTTAATCTTTTTCTTCAAATTTTTGATTCCATGATAATCCCTAGGAAACCCCTAAATATTCACTGTCTCAACAAGTTTTACACCTCGAACAAGGCATCCCTTTGTTGCCCCCAAAACTAGAGGCTCGTTTTCATGGTCAAATTGAAAATTCAAAAGAGGAAGAAATTATTTGGTTTTTAGTTTTTGATTTTATTTATTTTCGTAAACAAAACGTAAAGTTACTATTTTAATATTTCAAAATTAGTTAAAATTATTGTCAAGATCAAGTATCTAGTCAACTAATGGTCAAACTAATAGTTTTCATCCATTTGGGTTTCAGGTGTGAGTTTTTGAAATATTTGGTACCGTGAATGTAACAATCTAAATATTTATGTTAAGTCTGCATAAAAGTAAAAAGTTTGATACCGTAACTGCAATTTTTCCCAAAAAAATATAAAATGATTTTGTAGTTTACTGGGAAAAGTTCACCTCAAATGATAACTTCTCATAGTGTAATCATGTTCACCGTGAAAATAGACTACTATTGAACAGTCCGTTTCAATATGATTTGAGTATAGAATTTATCCTTTTAAGGTTTTAAAAATCAATAAATTTCAATCTAGAGAAAAATAGTAAGTATAGAGCCTATTTTCGCTTAACTTTTTGTTTTAACAAGGGATTTATCGTTTTTGTTTTGTTTCCTCATTTCACTTTTTTTGAATTTTGACTTTAATTCAAAAATATATAAATTGAATAATACTAATAATAATAATAATAATAATAATAATAATAATAATAATAATAGTGGGGATCACATTCCCCGCTCTGATTCCCTTAAAGCATCTTTAATTGTGGTGTAAACTAGATTTAAATTATGATTTACATTTTCAAAGTGGTCGAGAAAGGAAATGCAAATTGTATTTTTGTCAAACAATTTTAAAAAAGATTTAAATTTACACACACACATATCCCTGTACTCTTGGAAGCATAATCTGCGATTTACTTTTTTCACCAAGGCTCAGGGCAAGGCAGGTGGGGGCCGATAAGTGAATGCGGTTCATCATTTTTTTTAAAAAGTAGATCTAAGTCTTTTCATTGAATCAAAGTTTGAATTTAGATCCATATAAATGTAAATAATGATGCAAAAGTGGATTTAAAGATACGTTAAATATGGTGCTAATCTAACCTTTATTTGGAGCATTTCTTACTATCCCAAAAATTCTAACTAAAAGGCGTACAGTGTCATGGGCCGTTGTAGTGGGTTGGGCTCCAACGTTAAAAGCTTTTAGTTTGCCTTTTTCCTATTTTTGTCGATTTGTTTTTTTCTACTTTAAATTTAAAAAAACAATTTTACCGTTGCAATTTCCTCCCAACGTCTCTCTTCTCCGACAAGACAAAAAATATTAACCTGCGATCAAGCGAACAGCAACATCCACCGCATTTCAGGTACGAATGTTCTTTATTTGTACTCAAACTTCAAAGTTCAATTCTCACTCTTTCTGTTCAGTTTGTTAGTTCAAAATTTCGTAAGAATTGAACAATTCCATTAAGTATTTTATCTAGAATGTCGTTCATTTTTTATCTGTACCATGTTTTCCGCTGATCTGAATTCTTCATTTTGACTGTTAATTTTTTGTTATTGGTATTAATTGATCGCGTTAATGTGTTTTTCATTATCCTAGGGTGTTATTGTTTGATGAGTTTTATTTTTGAATTTCGTTATTATCAGCCTTTCTTTTTCAGGTTTTTAAAATAAAATTCACCAGTTTCAATTGATATTTTAATTTTTGCAATTATTAATTTCATTGAATTGTTGATATTCATCTAGTGTTTGTTTTGTGGTTTCAAGATTCAATTCTGAAAATAAGGATATAGTAAATAGATATTGTGGTTTTATCCTTCTAAAGTCAATTGCATTTTGTCTGCGATTAAATTTATCCAATTCTCACTTTCTGTCCTCTAAATCTCGAAGACCATCGGAAAAGAATCCTGTTAATCTTTTTCTCAGATTCAATAAATTAAAAATGGATGATTTAGTTGGACAAGATTGTCACCCTAAAGTTGATAGTTAAGAATTTTTCTTATTCAGTCAGTAAATAATCTTTTTGTTTGCTATTTTTTATGTTATTGCAAAGGCTTGAGAAGAGAGGTCAATTGCATATATGTATCACTTCATAATTCGAGTTCCCACTCTTCTCTTGACTTGATGTTATTTTCGTGCCTTCTATAGTACTTATTTTCTTGCCTTAAGTGGGTGGAGAATATACTTATGAATCTGTTGGGAATAACAAAGTTTCAATTTGTTTGAAGCCTGAAATTTCTTAGAGGTCAAAGTTTGAGAGGGAAAGAAAGCTAAACAAAGAATGGGATGTTCTCCATCGAAGTTGGATAATGAAGCACTTTTACAGCTTTGTAAGGACCGTAATAAGTTCATCAAACAAGCAGTTGAGCATAGAATGGAATTTGCTTCGGGACACATTGCTTATATACAATCAATGAAAAGAGTTTCTGCTGCACTTCGAGAATATATCATTGGGCACGAGTCTTGTGATAATATGCTAGATTCTTTTACACAAGACGACTGCAGCCCAATAAAGAAAAAAAGTGCTGATTTCGTCTGCATATCACCAAGATCCTTCTCTGTTGCACCGGCTAAATCTGAACCCAACTCATGTTGTAAAATAAACTACCTCAAGTCTGGTGGAAATCCTTCTGTTTCTGTTGAGGTGAGACCACCTCAGTCACCAGAAACTGTCAGAGTCGAAGCTTACGCCCCTGTTCATCATTTCGAAATGGGCAGCATTTTGGAAATGCATTCATCTTCAGTGAGCTCTTCAATCTTTCATAGCTCCCCAAACAATAGACCTAATTGTTCTCCAATTTCAGCTCAAACATCTCAATGGGATTTCTTTTGGAATCCTTTCACTTCATTAGATTACTATGGCTATCCCACGAGCAGTCTTGGTGAGAATATTTTGAATGATGAGAATGCTCGGGCAAGGCAGGTTCGAGAAGAGGAAAGCATATCTGAATCAGAAGAGAAAAAGGAAAAGAAAGAAATTGATGAAAGGATAAATAAGAAAGAAGAGAGGGTTAAGGCTGATGAGAACTCCAAGAGAGAAGAAGTTGCTGCGGAAGATGTTGATGATAGTGTCAATAATAAAAATGAGGATGGAACAATCAGTGAGCCTAGAACAGAGCAAAACATAGAAGTTGTAAAATGTGAAAATGTAGGTCAAATTAGTGGTAAAGGAACTGCAGTTATTGATTGTGAATCAAAAGAGGAAACACCGGGATATACGGTTTACATAAATCAACGGCTAACAAGCATGGCAGAAGTTGTAAAGGATCTTGAAGGTCAGTTCATGATTGCGCATAATTCAGCTACTGACGTATCACTGATTTTGCAGGCCGGCAAGGCTAAGTACTCATCAACATCAAATGATCTCACAGGTTTAAGAAGCGATACTTTATTGAATTAAAATGCTGACTATGCATTCCTGCATTTTTTTACTGCTGCTTATTTCTAAACCTTTAAGTTTGACTATTTAAGGGCAATAGAACTACTTTATAAAATCTAACAGCAGGTGAAATAGTTAAGAGCAGAAGGGGTGGGAAAGAACTCGCATTAAATCATAGCATTTTTCTTTTAAATGAATGCTTTTTCTTCTGTCATCTTTTGTTAAGACTGTTTTACTGGTTCTGTCGCTGACATCGTGGTAGATGAAGCTTTTCTGCTTTCTTGCTAAAACCCTTTTTGATTAGCCATGTCGAACCTGTAGTTTAGTACTTGAGGGAACAAAAAAAAACATTATAACTCGATGCTTCTTTAAATTTGTTTGCTAATCTCAACACTAAACTTCATTTTTCAGTAATGGAGATGTTGAATCCGGTAGCTTTGTTCAGATCGGCTTCATCTCGATCGTCATCATTGTCGAGGGTTTTAGTGAGCTCTTCAACTTCAAGAGATGAAGATTACAAATGTAGTAGCAACTTCTCTGAAGAGTCCTGCACGTTTACAGGAAATCATCAATCAACCCTGGAAAAGTTATATGCTTGGGAGAAAAAACTTTACCAGGAAGTTAGGGTATGCCTCTGAACGATGAACTATTTTGTGCTAAATAAGACTAGCCTAATCTCCTATAATAGATAATAGGAATGGTGTCAATTATCCATTTTCAACTGTTGACACTAGCACACTATAAACAAAAAGTATGAACGAAATAATGAACATGTTATTTCCATGGAATAAAAAATTTTAGGAGGAAATGGTATAATACACCTATGCATTCAAACAACTTCAACCGAGGAAGTGCAATTTCCAATTTCATTTTCAGATAACCAAAATAAGTTTTATGCATGTTGTTTAAGAGTGCAAAGGATTTGAATGGACGAAAAAGTGTTTTTTTGTTTGTAGATCTTTCATTTTATGATTTCTTTGTGATCACAAGTTGTATCTCATTACTTTCTTGCAGAAGATAGAGCCCAACACTGATTTGTCATTCTTCTTACAGCATTTTTGTCTTCATCTTTAAATAAATTTTCTGGAAATTTTTGGGAAACCCGAGAATGTACTTTCACTTTTAGCCGTAAACATTAACAGAAACAATTGTGTCAAAGGAGTAGAAATGTGAAGAATCCTGTGCTTCTGTAGTTCTTCAGTACAGAGGCTGAAAGCTAAAGTTTCATTGCATGTAACAAAATTTAAGTTTCATTCTATTGGGATAACATAATTCTGGAATTATCTTTTATGTCGAACAGTTATAAGTCATCTTTGTGTCTATTCAGGCTGGTGAACGCATTCGAAAAGCATATGAAAAGAAGTGTGCACAGCTGAGAAATCAAGATGTGAAAGGAAAAGAACCTCCTCTTTCTGAAAAAACAAGAGCATCCTTGACTGATCTGCATACTCAAATAAAAGTTTCAATTCACTTAGTTGAATCTGCCTCTAAGAGAATTGAAACATTAAGGGATGAGGAACTGGAGCCTCAGATATTAGAATTAGTGCAAGGGTACGTATGAATCTCAATGCTTATTTATTGTTCTATTAGACTTATTGAGTGAACTTATACAAAAATATTGGAACCTGCACCTGTTAAACCTATACTTCAAATATTTTTAACTACGATATATGTAACCCATATGTAGTAAATATGCTTCTCTCTTGACCTCTTTCTTTTGCTATGGTACTAGAATTCTGATGTTCTGTTTTTATGTATTTTGTATAATTTACTACAAAATTTACTGAAAGAAAAGGGAGAAAAGTTTATCCTCTATTTAAATTTTCGAGTAACATTGTACTGGTTTCAAAACTTCAATTCATAACCTCATTACTTCATAAAATAAACCAAAGGTTCTTTTTAATAATGTATGCTTTGGTTGCATGTAATTATGCAAAATGAACTCGTTCTCATCTGAGTTTGAACTTGGAGATTGTCAAGTCTACGATCGTGAACTTGTCCATATTGTACATGCTTCCCCAACCAGTTAGACCTAAATCAGTCTAAATTAAATGATTCAGACTCCTGTGATCAAATGAAGCAATTGAATTATTTAGTGATTACTTAACAGGTTAGCAAGGATGTGGAAGGTTATGGCTGAGTGCCATCAACTGCAAAAATGCACTCTAGATGAAGCCAAGATTTTACTAGCTGAAACGCTCTCAACATATTCTGCAACAAAGAAACAGACAATGTTACCTTCAAAGCTACAAAGGCTTGCCAATTCAGCTGCTAACCTCGAGACAGAGCTCAGGAATTGGAGAGCCTGCTTTGGGACATGGATTGTTTCTCAACGCTCCTATGTGCATGCATTGACAGGATGGCTCTTGCACTGTGTCCGTTTGGATCCTAACACATCGAAATTACCATTCGCTCCTCGTGAGTCCTTCGGGGGATTGTCAATGTTTAACATATGCATCCAATGGTCCAGGTTCCTTGATGCAATCCAGGAAGCTCCGGTACTTGGTGGACTCGATCTTGCAGCAGAAGGTGTTTGTTCCTTATATGCACAACAACTACAGGAAGATTCTTGCAGGAAAATAAGTGCTTCAAAGAGCTGTGGGGGGGAACAGGAACCTGTAGGCGTTGTTGAGGTTGGCCGATTTGAAGATGAAGTAGTGAATGCAGAAAAAATAGCTGAAGTAGCCAATAGAGTGCTTTGCGCCGGAATGTCAGTAGCCATGAATTCACTGACAGAATTTGCCTCTATTTCAGCTGAAGGATATGCGAATTTGGTCAAGCAATGGGAGAATGCCAAACAGCCTAAGAGTTCAGATATTGAAAACTGAGTAGTTATTATTTTTTATTTTTTTGTTCATGGCAGTATTGTAGGAAAATCAATTTATGTTAGAAATGAAGTTAATGGTACTGTTTTGTTTTATTCAATTTCTTTTGGTTCCTGAGAAAAATATATTTTCTATGATAATGTTACTGTAACATGTGGCTGCAATGTAAAGCAGAATTTAGAGGAGATAAAATCACAGTCATAATTGCAATGTAAAAACAGTTGATCAATGCTCTCTTGTTGAATGCACCACAAGCCATTCTGCTTGTGTAGTTATTATTTTTATTTTTTTGTTCATGGCAGTATTGTAGGAAAATCAATTTATGTCAGAAATGAAGTTGATGGTACTGTTTTGTTTTATTCAATTTCTTTTGGTTCCTGAGAATATATAGGAGAAAAATATTGGTTTTGGTTCTAAATTAAGATGACATTTATATTATCTATGATAATGATACTGTAACATGTGGCTGCAATGTAAAGCAGAATTTAGAGGAGATAAAATCACAGGCATAATTGCATTGTAAAAACAGTTGATCAATGCTCTCTTTTTGAATGCGCCACAAGCCACAAGCGGCGATAGGATGCCATACAGAAACCCTGCAGGCATAGCAGATCCATGTAAATAAGCAACATTAAGCATAATCTTGATGAGGAAATTTAATGAGACAAAATGAACTTTCCCCACTCCACTATCGAATCCGGGTCACGGAAGTGTTGGTGAGGCATCCTTGCAAGAAACATTTCCAGAGATTGACTTGGTCTAGAATTAGTATTGAATACTGAGAGAGAATTGAAGATCAAAGACGAATTCATATTACTTGAAAATGAAGTGATACAATCAGTTCATATAAATACAGAAAAAGCTAACTAACTGACCAACTAACTAATCAACTAACAATTACAGCTGTCTGTACATGTAACTAACTTTCATCTATACATAAAGGAACCAAAATTAGTTACATCAATTGGTTCTGTTTTGATGGAAGCTAGCTGGTAGCTTTAGCTCGATCTTGAGCTGCTGGAACTTTAGCTGAGCTCTAATATTACCCCTCAAGATGGACTGTGCAAATTCAAAATAGCCATCTTGGACATGAGATGAAAAAGAAAAGATGATGGTAATGGTTTGGTGAAAACATCAGCTAACTGGTGTTGAGTTCGGACCAGTAGAAGTTTGATGAACCCATCATTGACTTCATCTCGAACAAAATGACAATCAATTTTTGTGTGTTTCGTTCACTCGTGAAAAATTGGATTAGTAGCAATGTGGAGAGTGGCTTGATTGTCACGGAAGATCAAGGCTGGGAGTGAAATTCTGACCTGCAAATCAAGAAAGAGCTGCTAAATCCAAATAATTTCACAAATAGATGAAGATAAAGCACGGTATTCAGCTTCTGCATATGATCTAGAAACAGTGGCTTGCTTCTTGTATCTGAGAAGATGATAAACAGCATTTAAATGGGGCTCACGAGGTTGAGAAACAAATTGGCTTAGCTTGTGGATTGCAAAAGTAATGTCTAGTGATAGGAATGCAAAATGCATATTTTTCTCTCCTTATTTTAATATGTGCTCGTATGATTAATTAATGCCAAAATGTACTCATTAGACACATATTTTGATTTAGGTGGCAATGCAATGGAGATGACATAATTTGGAAGAAATAGGTGAAAAATGACCAAAGTGAAAGGAAATGAAAGTTCAAGGACTAACGTGAAAATACGCAAAAATTGTGTCAAACCAAATGATGAAGATTTGAGAGTGTAGAAATCAATTGAATGAAGAAATAAGTCAAAGGAGTGAAATATCGTCAATGTAGGATCACACATCAATTTCCAATCGAAATATGCATCCGATTTTCAGTCTCAGTTTGAGACCCATTTTGGACATGGAAAACGATAGAAATGGAAGATGGTATCTGAAGCAAGGTTGTAGCTCATTGAGTTATCTTTTCAACGCATTTTGAATCAGCTCAATCGGATACCTGTGGAGAAAGTTATGACCAAAATACCGAACACTGTTTAGAGACAAACCTACGGGGCGCGAGACAAATTCTCTCGAACGGCGCAGAAACAAGGAGAGAAGAAAAGTCTTGAGCCTATGCACTGTTGCAACCCTAGATGCCTTTTATATAGTCACCCAATAGTCTCCAATCTAATGGTATAGGAGGTGACACATGGCGATATCCTGGGCGTCCATTTCATCGGGTAAGTTAAACACAACTTTAGGCATTTTCTCCAAAACACGTTTTTGCACCAAGTAAAAAAACATAACAGATTTTAGTAGCTGGGTCTTCAATTTTCAGTTGGGCAAACACTTTCTGCCCATGGGTATTGCATCATTGTGCCAAACAAATCCTTTCAAAGGTCAATTAATTAGATTAATTAAGGAATTTGATTTTTATTTATCTTTTGATTTTTGAATAAATAGTTTAGGCAAATATTTCTTTGGAGACTAAAAATCTGAATTGGATGTAAATCATTTAATTTAGAATAAATCTGTAGGTAGGCATGACATTAGTACAGCGATCTATGTGATTAGTTTGAATTGTTGGTTTATTTATTCATTCTTCTTTTTATAATTTTCGACACGCAAGCTTACTGTTGTAATTATGGCGTGAGTATCCATTCATTTTAGGTTCGCGTTTCGACCATTAGGTTGGAGTTGACTACAAGATGACTAGTATATGATACAGGTTGGAGGAAGAGATGGAGATTATTGCATGGTCGCGTTAGATGATCGAATGTCATCCTGACGAACTAGTTTTCATTTTGGTTAGATAGTATAAGTCCATATTTATCGACAATTTAATTATGTATGATTATTTGCACGATAGATGAAGATACAATATACATGATTGAGATGAGACCAAATCCTCCACTTAAAATTTTAAGTTCATTTAACTTATCGTGCTTTCTCTCATTGATGTGTTTATCATAATGAAATATTTGATGCTTTCAAAAAATGGGTCGAATTTAATTGAAATTCTGTCTTTGAGGCGATAAGCGATGTCTATTTGATGATTTGGAAGTAACGTAGAGATGTAATTGATAAAAAAAATTCTACCTGGTAGCCGTAGGGCTAGTTGAGCAACTCAACGTTCTAATAAAGCAAAAGAGATCGTAACTCAAAACTTGGCACTATCAACGAGGGAAGCAAGCTTGGCACTATCCTTAACTATAAACTTCTATAATGAGAGTGATTTACCCTTATGAATATTTATTATCCAACTACTCGATGGTATAATTTAAGGTAAATAAATAATTTCATTCATGCACTTGATCAAAACTCCCTGTAAATAGGCCTTACGCTACCCCAATGTTCCCTAATTCTTCATTTGCAACAATGGATATCAAAATCAACTCCTGATGATTAGTAAAGGCAAAGGATCGAAATGGCAAGAAAATTGGACCACTATATCCTATGTAGTATTTGTCCTGAATTTCTATCTTCCAAGTCTATTCCCATTTGAAATTCGGACCACTACGTGCTATGCTACACTAAGATTTCAAATGGTACAGCATCAAAATTTAATGATCAACCAACGGAAACATAATGAATTGGTCCCATATGAATGGTCTTGAATTTCTATCTTCAAGTCTATTCTCATTCAAAAATTGGACCACTATATACTGTGTTCCAACTACTCTATGGTAAAATTTATGACAACAGAAGCAATTTCATTATTTGATGTACCCTTAACTGATCAGAATTCCCTATAAATAGTGAAATAACAATATTCGACCCAATTAACACCTAGAAGGGTGGGGGAAGGGGGGGGGGGGGGTGAATAGGTGTTCATCCGGAATTTAAATTTACCAATTAATATTTGCACAAGTCACAATTATTAATTAATTCAATTCACATGCACAACTATCATACGTTGAATTATTGCATTAAATAAATTACTGAAAAATAAATAACAATAGAAAATTGATAACGGAGAAAACTCGTAACTGTATAAAAACTTTGGGTCCAAGCCAATAATAATCCACTTATAAACCAATCAACTTATAGTACTGCCAGACACGACTAAATCTAGTACTTTCTCACCAACTGACTCGTCTGAAGCTTGTCTTTCCTTTGTCCAAAACTGTTTCCTAAAAAGAACAAGTGTAAAAGCACGCAAAATAGTAATAGAAATAAAAGCATTTGAGACACATAAATTCAATCACATGCTAGCTAAATTAAGATGCAATATCAATGTAAACCAATACACCACAACCACATTGATATCACTAAATATCAAAACTTAATTTAGCTAAAACGAAAACCAAATCATATACATCCGAAAAGTGAAATACAAAATATGTAAATTTAACCAAAATATCATATTCATCCGAGATAAAAATATTCAAATCAAAATTATGAGATACTAATATAATGACTAGCATGCCCCTAGCATATCCCTACACCTACAATACTCCCCATTTTTGTCACAAATGACAAGGGGCAACTAAGCAACTATGTATCAGCATCATCACCAGAAGCACCATCATTGGTCTCATCAGAAGCAGCCCCATCATTTCAATGTTGACGAATCCAATGCAATCCTCGCTGAAAATAGCCGACAACATCACGAAGTGTAGCAAACTCTACCGTGTGTCGATCAACTATGGGTGTAATCTCAACCATCATACGAGCCCGTTGCTCGATCAGCATAGACATCTATCCCATAAGTGTGATCCAATGATCAACGGAAACAGATGCAGATGGAGGAATAAACTCAATAGGTGGGGAGCAGAAGTGGACATCGAAAGGATGTCAGTAGTAGAAGTAGGAATATCAGAACCAAATAGTGGAATATCAAATGGATCAAAAGAAAGTAGATTGTCAATATGATCAGCTAGCATAGTCAGGTTAACTGGATTAGTAGGCTCAGATGAAGCATGAGAACGATTCTGCGAAATGGTAGTATGGCCAATAGATTGGGACACCCTCCTCGGACCCCCATCTGGAAAAGTAACCCTAAGAGCCGTCACTAGATGGTGAATCAAACAGGCGTACAGA